GAGGGGGGTCATGAGGGCCTGGGGGGGCTGGCCAGGGACTGGGGGCGTATGGAGCGGTCGGGAATGTACCGGGAGGGTTATGAAGGGACGGAGCCCGTTCTGAGGGGGTTACAGAAGGGTTGGGCAGCGCCCAGGCCGCGATCCCGCACTCACCGGGCTCGAACCGGCGCCACGCCGGGCGCCGCCGCCGCTGCCATGCTGCCGCGCGCTGCGATGCCGTCAGCGACGGCGGTGGACCACGTGACCGGGCGCATATAAAAAGGCCCGGCGGAGGTGCGGCCCCCTCACAGCGGCCGGAGCTGCGGCCGAGCACAGTGTGTTGTGTGAAAGAGTTTGTACATTCTACCTGAACTGCCCACAGCCCCTCAGGGTATCAGGGTTGCCCAAGCAGGGAGAGAAGGCCGTTCTGCAGCCCTTGTACCCCGGGGAGAGGTGTCGCTCCTTGTAGCAGCTCCTTAAGGCTTCTCTTTGGGGACAGTTGGGTGTGAGGGGGTCACTGCTGCTGACCCCTGAGGGTGGCCGTGGCTGCAAGGCCCCCTGAGATCACTATGTTCAACTTAAAAATGAGCAGCATCATGTCAGCCACACACACAAGTGCCACTTTGCCTTTCCTTCAACAATTCCCTGATTTTGGGGGTGTCTCGCTCTCCCACCTCCTCACAGCTATCAGGGGGGAGGATGGAGCTCTGCAGAGATGTGGGACACATGGTACATTTTTTGTAATTTTGGGGTTGTTTTAAGCAATAAATGCAAGGCCTGGCTGCACAGTGCTGAAGGGATGAACCAGCTCTCGCTCACGAGCCGCCTGGAGCCTTCCAGCCGCCCTCGCCTTCGCTCCGTGGGTGGAAGCTTGGGCTGAAAACCAAATAAACCAAATAAACACGTCAAGTGTGCTGTGTTTGACCTTTTCTCCCTCCCCTGTAGCTGCCACATCTTTGCTGTGTCCGTGCCGCTCTTCACACCCTCTCCTTGGTGCACATCCCCTCGGTGATCCTCCGAGCCTGACGCGTGTGAGCGAGGGCGATGCTGTAGTGAGGCGGCCGATGTCTCATGGGTGACGTCTTTGGAGCCCTCCTGGATGACGTTTCCTTTCCAGCTCCGTCACCTCCACAGCTCCCTTTGACTCACGCTTGGCCTGGGATGCTGAGAGGCCAAGAAAAGGCTGCAAAATGCAAGTGAAGCAAAACCTGGGCTCCATCTTTGCTGTCCCATGCCCTGTGCTGAATCCAAGGAGCTTTTATTATTTTAGATGGGTTAAAACTGTCCATGATGCTGCTCCACAGAGGAGACACCTCGTGGTTTTTGTCCTAATTTAGGAGCTGCTGGAAGCCCTGGAAGAGTGACCGCTTGTAATGTTGGGGAATTACCACGGCGCTGAGATTGTTTATGGGCACTGCAGAGTTGTGTGTGCACGTAGGGCTCGAGTTTTGGAGTTTTCCTGTTTTAGCTCAGTTCTTTCCAGATGCTCCATCAAAAAAGGCTTTTGGGAGGAGCTGGTGGGTGCTCCTGCTGCTGCCAGGGCAGGTTGCACCACGGGGCCAGGCTGCTGTGGGAAGAGCTTTGGGTGTTAATTACTTCTGGAGTGAAATATGAGGAATGCAAAATACTATTTTAAGCTTCAGCTTGGCCAGGGGGAAGGAAGGAAGGAAGGAAACGAGGCTCTGGGGATTAATGAAGTGATTTCACTGCTGTTTTTGTGGGGCAATAAGCCTGAAGTCAGAGCGCTTGGGGCTGGCTGCACCCGGCTGAGGTCAGACTTCAGCATCTAATCCCTGCTCAGGGCTCTGGCTCGGCAGCTTTACGAGGCTGAGCTTTGGATGAGCTTCCCAACAAAGCCTTTCCCAGGTTGGACAGGGCTTGGAGCAACCTGCTCTAGCGGAAGATGTCCTTGGCCATTCAGGGGTGGGAATGGGTGAGCTTTGAGGTCTCTTCCAACCCAAACCATTCCATGACTCTCTGCTAGGTTTGGAGAGGTGCTGGCTTTTGCCTCCTTCATCTTTTCACCCCTTCAGGTCATGCTGAGGTTGGAAGAGGAGCCAGGGGAAGGAGGAAATGGATAAATGTAGGGTGAATACAGGGCTTGGAAGGCCAGAGCTGTCACTCCCACATCCTCCAGCAGCTCCAGAGAAAACCAATACCCACGAACTCACTGGGAAAGGCCAAGGCAGGAAAAAGGGAAAGGTTGATTACAGGAAAGTGGGATAGAGATACAGGGAGAGCTAAGTCAGGAAAAGTTCAGCTCCTTCAAGGTCCAAGTTAAACACGTATTAATGAACCTGCCCCTTCCACAGGCTCCCACACAAAAGTCGGATGTGTCAGGCCCTGGGGTCTGGCTACCACGCCAGGAATTAGCCAAAAAATGAGGCTCTGTAGCAGCCCCAAGAGCAGCTGCCGTGGGGAGAGAGAGATTCAGGCTGGTCACACTCGTCTGGAGCTGTGCTGAATGTTGTGACAAGCTCTGCTGGATGCTGGTGCCAGCGGGGTGAACGTCCCAGGTGTGGGGTTGGGTGTGTGGGAAGGTGGCTGGAGCTGGGAGGGAACCTCCGGGTCCTGTCTTCTGCTCAAACCAAATCCATTCCTCATGTGTTGTCTCCCCTTTTATCCGGTCTCGTTTCAGCAGCACAGCTTCCAGCCTTCTGCAAAGGAGAATATTCCCATTGCTCATAAATCTCCTATCAGGAAGCTGTTTCCAAGATTAAAGCTTTAAACGTTTCCCCTCTCTGGTTTCACGTCCCAGCTCCCAATTCCCTCCCTGCCGTAATCAGCAGCTCCAGCCCCTCCATCTGGACACGCCGGGGTCTCTGTGCCTCACACTCTCTCTGCTCCAAGAAAACCTGTGCTGGGGCAGTTTGGAATTGGGGTGTGCACCTCCAGAGCTCGCAAAGGGCCACTCCAGGCTCTGTGTCATGGAGTTTGGAAAGCTCTTCCCGCTGCAGGTCCCTCCTGGCTGGTTGAAGAGCTGACTCGGCGTTTGGAGGAGCTAAAGGTCATTATCTGGGCAAGGCCCGTGGATTTGGGATGAGCTCTCGGCAGGCTGGAGCTCAGGGCCTGCTGTGGATATCGGATCACCGGCAGTGCTCATTCCCAGAGCTGGGATAATTATCCGTGGTGTGTGGGCAGGGAAAGGCACGGGACATCTGGGCTCACGTGGGAGTGCTCTGGGATCCCGGAGCTGTGGCACTCAGCCTTTTGTTGGGAAAGCTTGGAGGAGACCCCAAACCTTTTCATCACACCCTAAAATTAGAGGCAACCCAAGGCCCCAGTCCTGGGAGCCACAGATTCCTTGGCAGAGGCTGCTGTGCTGATGGAAGAGGCAGGATGTGGCTTTTCCCAGTGCCCTGGCCATGGGAGCAGGGGGAAAGTCCCAACTCTCCATTCTGGTGGCTCTGGGGGACATCTCTCATCGACTTTTGTCCTTCTCAGCCTTCATCACCCTCAACCCTGCTGTTCCCAGGGCTGTTTTGGGGCACTTCCTTGGGTGGCTCCCAAAAGGAACCTTCTCTTCTGTCCTCTGCTGTCACCTGAGGTCACCCCGTCCCCTTTCCGTGCCTAATCCCTCGTGGCTCAGCCTGTTGGGAATTAGGAGAGTTGAGGATCTGGACAGGAAAGGTGCTTGCCTTCAACCCTTTATCTGGCCTCTTCTAATGCCCTGTGTGCCACCAGATAAAATCTTGTGTGCAGTTTTAATTTTTATTTTTACACGAGAAAGCAACACAGAAATTTCCTCCTGACATTTAATTCAGTCAGTCAGTGACAAACCGAATAAACATTCCTGTTTCGCTGGGACAAAGGCTCCAAGATCCTGCTGGGACTAAAATGTTTCATCATTTCCGAAGTAAAATGTTTCAGTTTTTTTAATAAAAATAAGAACAACAACTAAAAATGACACGTTTCAATGTTTTTCTAATTATTTTCTCCACTTTGGCTGGATCTATTTGCCAAATCTGGCCTGGCTTCTCAAGTAGTTTTGGAACCATCCAAAAATTGCTATTTTGGGCACTTTTCCTGTTATTGATGAATAAGTTTAATCCCTGTCCTGCGTTCCTGTTCATTCCAGGTGTTTTCTGGGATGTGGATGGAGCTTTGGTGTCACTCTTTTAGTGCCATGGCAGGGACACCTCCCACCATCCCAGGTGGCTCCAGCCTGGCCTTGGGCACTTCCAGGGATCCAGGGGCAGCCACAGCTGCTCTGGGAATTCTATTCCAGGGCCTCCCAAACTCTCCCAGCCAGGAATTCCATCCCAATATCCCAATCATCCCTGCCCTCTGCCAGTGGGAGCCGTTCCCTGTGTCCTGTCCCTCCATCCCTTATCCCAAGTCTCTCTCCACATTCCTTGTGGCTCCTTCAAGTCACAATTAGGTGACCCTGGAGCTTTTCCAGGCTGGACAATCCAAATTTTCCCAGTTTTTTCCCTCCAGAAGAGCTGCTCCATCCCTCTGATCATCCTGCTGCCTCCTCTGGGCTCTTCCCAGCTGCTCCACGTCCTCCCTGTGCTGGGCCAGCTCTGCAGGTGGGGTCTCACCTGAGCAGAACCACTGGAAATAAACCTCCCCACATTTTAATTTAGCTCTGGAAAAAAAAAAAAAAAGAAACCTCGGTGCTATTTTTGTCCAGAGCCTTCCCTAACACCGGATTTTTGCAGACTAAGGGTGGATGGCTTTTTTCTTCCTCCTCCTGACTGAGAGGTGGAGAGGACTGATGCAATGTCATCTAAACTTGGAGCAGCCCTTGCTGCAGCAGCTGAGGAGGCTTTGCAAAACCAGAACCATCCCCAGTTTTTCCTTGGATGAGGCTGGGCCAGTTTTCCATCCTGTCTTTGTTCTGGAAGACTCAACCCACGCCTTAAAAATGGATCTGGAGGATTTGCCCTTCCCTGCCTTGAGTGAGAGACACTCTCCTGGGGCTGTGACCTTGCTGGTGGGGTGTGCCCCCCTTTTCCTTAGGGATTCGTGTCCAGCTGGTTTAATTTGTGGAGCTGGGCCACTCCAGGCTGCTCCTGGTGCCCCAGGGAATTGTGCTGTGCACTGACCTGCATTCAGCAGCGCTGCAGAGCATCAGCTCGGCCAGGATCTGGAACTTCAAGCCAAACTCAGCCCTCTGGTGACAAAAAGGCAGCTGTCCCTCTCCTGTGGCCGTGGTTCTGTGCAAATCAGTGGGAAAAGAGGCAAGGGAGCAGGTGGTCCCTGTGGAGATGGGAGATGT